GCTTCTTTAAAAAAAAAAAAAAAGGAAATCGTTTAAGATGTGGGCTATTATTAAAATAACGAAAAAAAAAATAAAATTTAACTCTTTTTCTGTGAATTTTCAAGTCTGTACTAAGTAGGCCATTTTGTACTTGATCGGAACACATGATTCTCTTAAATTTATACAATTCAATTTTTAATTCTTTTGTTGCAATAAAAGCAGCAGATCTGGAAGATACCTCAAGGCATAGGAGCGGGGTGATATGAGGTTTGAGGGTACATTTCACAAGAAAGAAATATTACCATGCCAGAAATTATCAAATAATGAGTAAAAGACATTAATCTGTTGCTCTCAAAGTTTAGTATTCTAGCTAGCCTTGTCTAAAAAATCTTAAACTTTATCACAGTTAAATATTTTTCGTATAGAAAATCTTCACATTTTTTTAAATAGTAATGCCTTTACATAATATTTTTACCACCAGTATAACAAAGAATACATTTATTAATGAAAACAAAAGCAAACGATAATGTAGACCTCACATACATTTAGAATACATAAATCATTCGACATTGAACGTATAATTGCTCCATGAATATTCAATGTAACCAAGATTATAGAAAGATCACTGTATTTATATTCGAAATATTCCAGCATACAGTTTAATCAAACAAGAATAACTGACGATCAAAGTTATTATTAAGTATTGTAATCAAAGGCTTGCAACGGAGAACAAATAAATTTCTAAAATTGGGTTGGCAACTACACAGTTTGGAACAGGATTATTTTCGTCTGCGGGCAAGACTCTTTTGCATAATATCTTTATTTAGTTTGTAAATTTATTTATGTGCTAGTGAGGAAGAATATTTTTCTTTCTGCATTTCGCTTAATAATTGCTTAATCAAAATATGGGAATTATTGTAACATTTCCATTTTTATTTCAGTATATAACGTATTTTATTTTATTTATTCGGTTTTGATATGAAGTAAATGTAAAGTGTATCAATTCAGTATCATTAATTTAAAATCATTATTGATTATAGAATTTTTAAGTAAATTCATTTTTAATTTTATTTAGTAAATTGTTACCAAATTTTTATAATGTTAAATTCGTATAGTAGCTTTTTTTTATTTAGTTTAGTTACATTACTAGAGAATAATGAATAAAATAATGGTAATAGGCTCTACATAAATCGGTTATGGTGGTTTTCTCCCCAATACGAAATTTACTCTCAATAATGTTTTGCTATTTAAAATTTTTAAAATATGTCACTGCATTGTTTGCGAAAATCTCGCTATAATTTAGCTTTTTGCAGAAAATGAAGGAAAGCTTATATTCATTCATGTAAATATGTTGCGTAGAAAAAAATATTTAAATAATTTTTGAATAAATTTTGAAGTAATTTGTAACAATAAAATGAGCATTTCCTACTTTTAATAATTTAACTGAAAATTTTATTTTTACAATAGCTTTTTGCACTAAAATACAATAATTTATTAATCCTTTGCTGAGCTACATACCGATTATATAACTGAGCTACATACCGAATGATATAGCTGAGCTACATACCGATTTATAGTGATTTATCAATTCTGTTGAATCTTCACTAAATTATTTTAAAAAGCATTTTCATTATGTATCGGGAAAGCTATACATTATGAAAAATATCAAATACACTGTTAGAAATTTCCCGAAAAAAATCATGGAACTTTTTCCCCTGCAGTCCCCAATTTGTGACACTGATCTATTAGAATAAAAGTCCAGGGTACGATACTCTCACTATCATGGGTGGCAGTACTATAAAGATGCTTAACACAAATAAGTCTAGTATTTCCCATTTCTTACGATAGCTGAAAGAACCAGATAAACAAATTAAACCGCATTCCTTGGTTCATTTCATAAACCACAATTCAACCACAATCTAACTCCAATGCCCATTACCTAACTAAAAACCTAGCTCCAATATCCAATAAAATTTCTTTTTTATGGTTTTGAAACCATAGTAGTTGAAAATGGTTAAAAAAAAAATCCGTATTGTTTTTATTCATGGTTTTTTGACCAAATAAGTAGTAAACGGTTTCAACACCGTAAAGATAAAAAATGTTCTTTATCGTAAACTTAACGTTTAATTGGATGGACCAACTGCTGCCGGTTATTTTATCGGTATTGCCGGTATTTTTATAGAATGAAAATTCTAACAGCGTATAAGAAAACTATCCACAACGATAAATTTCGAATATGATAATAACACGAGTATTATCGATAACTGCAATTATCGTATGCCATACAACAACGAATACTCTAATTTCACGAGTTTTATCGATAACGACAATTATCGGATGCCATGCAACAACGAATACTATAATTTCACGAGTTTTATCGATAATTATAGAATAAGATATTTTGGTGAATGTTGATAAATTTTACAGCACAATGATGAAAGGTTTAAATTAATGATTAACAATTGGTTAAATTAAATAATTTAAACTACTTGAAAAATGTCGTGATATTGGGATTTTTTTTCTTCAAATAAATTTATTTAACTCCCTTTCATATGGGTAACAAAAATATTGAATGCAATTAGTTAAACTGGAGAGGTAAATTAGTTGAATCGAAAAATATCTAATTAGGAAAAATCTACAATTCCTGAACGTATTTCACCATTTTAAAATTCTGTTTAAGTTTAGCCCTAATGTAGAATATTACACTAAACCAACAAAATAGGACAATTTGTAAGAAAAACAATAATTACCTATTTCCTTAAAAAAAAATCTTAATCTGATCGAAATGAAATGACGTTACCTGCTAATAAACGAGTGTTAAAAGTGGTTCATAGAACAAAAGTCGACGGT